GTAGTCTTAGTAGTAGTAGTCTTAGTAGTCTTCTTAGTCTTAGTAGTAGTCTTAGTAGTAGTAGTTGTCTTAGCAGTAGTCTTAGTAGTAGTCTTAGTCTTAGTAGTAGTAGTCTTAGTAGTAGTCTTAGCCTTAGTAATAGTAGTCTTAGTAGTAGTCTTAGTAGTAGTCTTAGTAGTAGTCTTAGTAGTAGTCTTAGTAGTAGTCTTAGTAGTCTTAGTAGTAGTCTTAGTAGTCTTAGTAGTAGTCTTAGTAGTCTTAGTAGTAGTAGGTACTCGTCATCTAGGCTCAATAGATAGTTTATGTTTTTGTAGGTTATTGCCTGACTAATGGATGTTATCAGCTGCTGCTTTGTGATTGGGGATAATGTTTTGGGTTGGGTTTTTGGTATATGTGTAAAGTATAATATATGGCTGCAATACAGGTGTAGGTACAGTCCAGATTTCGGTATGGACATGGATCGTTCATACCATGTTGAACACTGCCCATCCCATCAGCACTGGGCACATAAGCAACATTGGGCCAGATCAGTAGTACGGTGGGGGACCACGTGCGAACCCCTGGTGACGATCTGTTTTGCCACATTACAAGCGCCATCGTAGGGATGTTGAGTTGTAGTGTTTGCTAGGGAGAATGCATGTCACTGCACAGGCATGCAACAACACCCAGAAACGATGCCCCAATCTTGCAGGCGCTGTTATTGCCCTTTGCTGCATGTGCTTGGTGCCTGGNGAATGCATTTCATTGCACAGGCATGCAACAACACCCAGAAACGTTGCCCCAATCTTGCAGGCGCTGTTATTGCCTTTTGCTGCATGTGCTTGGTGCCTGGGGAATGCATGTCACTGCACAGGCATGCAACAACACCCAGAAACGATGCCCCATGTTTGTAAGCTCGATTTCTATTTTTTNTAATGCATCATGCTTGCAGTGCCTCAAGCTTGCATGTACTTACACACATACATTTTAAGCTTTTGGTCTTTGTGTGTGGTGCTGTAAGGTTGCATTTTTAACTGCAGCTCTCAACCAGTGACCATGAAATTTGAATCCTGGCTTCAGGCCTGTCAAGTCTCAACTTCTGGAATCTCCCATCTTAGGGTCCC